CAGGTCCAGTTCATCAGCACATCCCCTCATTAGCCTGCTATGACGTCTGCACAAGCTCACATCCCATAGGCAGCAGAAAATCTAATCCTGAAAAGGGAGGAAAAGCCCAGGAAAAGCTATACAAGGAAAATAAATGAACAAACAAGATAGAAACAGACTCACAGATACAGAGAACAAATTGACGTTTGCCAGGGGGGAGAGGGAGGTCAGGGAGCTAGGTGAAAAAGGTGAAGGGATTAAGAAGTACAAATTGGAAGTTACAAAATAGTCACGGGAATGTAAAGTACAGCATAGAGAATACAGTCAATAATGTTTCAACAACTGTGTATACAGGTGGGTACTACACCAATCAGGGGAATGACTGCATAAATTATATAAATGCCTAACCACTATGCTGTATGTCTGAAACTAATATAAAATAATATTGAATGTCAACTGTAACTGGAAAAAAAAAAAGATGCTCATCCATTCCAAAGCCTGGCTCCTGATTCCATGGACTAGGATGTAAGCCTTGTTCTTCTGCTTCTTTCCATTATTGGTGGAGGGAAATTTGAAATTGGTGCCACCTGCTCCTTCAGAGGGCGGTCAGTTTGGTACTTGCATGCTTGCTGCAGGTTTTCAGGTTCCTTCCAATGACCATTCTTTTTGAGGCACCTGAAGTTTGGAAAGTTTGTTCCTTGGTCCTTGGCTCCTCTATATTGTAAATGGCCGGCTTTTCCAATTGGTCTTGCTGCTGCTTTGTCTTTGGGAGAGTGGAGGGTGTGGTTCCCCCAAATGTTTCCAGAAACAGAATGGAAATTTCAGCTTAGTTTCATGAAATGCATCTCTTGGTAAAAGGGTAAAGAAAGAAACTAACGTTTTTTTGAGCTCTAGGCACTATTTTTCTGTACATTACCATGAGTTCTCGATTCCTCCATTGTCAGCAGGGGTTTGAATGAGTCGAACATCAGCTAAGTTCAAATTTATTTGGTTTAGCATGTCTGTTCTTAAGTAGCTTTCTGATATGTATGTTCATTTCTAAGTGAAAGCAGTTTTTTAATTTATTTCAAACAAATAACTTTGGTTCTGTGATTCAGTAAAAAGTAGTTTTTTAGGATTAATTTAATTCGAGGCACAGCAGGTTATCGAGTTTATTATAGTTTTGGTTTATTATTTCACTTTATTCAAGTCCTTAGATTTTATAAACAAAACCATAAACTTTAAACTGCATATAAAACTGTAAATTATATTTTAAAATCTTCATCCTGTCTAAATTCAGTAGAATTCTATCATCTGAAAATTCATCTTTTTCTTCAACTCTGAGAAATTTTATTCTATTTTCTCTTTATTACCCCCTTCTACTTTCTCTCCTTTTGTAACTTCTATTAGATATTGGATTTTGAGGATCTTGCCCCAATGGCTTTCATCCTTGAAAAAATTCTCACAACCTTTCCATTGCCTGTTTTTTGCCCTGTGTTTGAGGGGAATTTCTGCTTCCACTAACCTGCTCTTCAGTTTGGTCTGTTCTGCTTATCAGCGAATGAATTTTCGATTTCAGAAAATGCTTTTTTAATTTCTGTGCTTTCTCACTGATTATTTGTTGTGGCTATATCCTTTCAAATCTTGCTGAATAAAATATAAACTCATTTTAAATTTATCTTCTGTTTTCTTTATTAACTTAGTTTCCTCCGACAGCACTTTTTTCTGTTAGGTAAGTTTGGTGTTTCTCTTTCATCGTGTTGATTCCCCAACCACACACACAAAATTGTTGGTGGTTTTGATTGTCCACTCATCTTTTACTTGAAAATGCTTTTGGCTGCTGTTCTATTACAGCCTCTCTTTAGGGCTGTGAAGCAAGGCCATGAAATGCTATCCAGAGAGGGCAAAGGTTCCCTGTCATGTCTGGGGTTCAGTAGATACCTGGGCTCTGCCCCTCTGGTCCCAGGATCCCCACTAACTTCTATATCCCACAGTCCCACAGGCAAACCTCTGACGCTTAATGCCAGCAGAGGAGAGGAGGTGCTTCCGTGAATTATTCTGCAGCCTCCTCCCGCTCCTGTATCATTTGACTCTTCCTTGGATCGTCCCTAAACTATTCCTCCTCCTGAACCTGTTTTGCTTTCCTCTGGTTTTGTTTCTCTCTAGATCAGATCCTATCTTTCTCATCTATATTTCAGGATTTCCTAAAAATTCTTGAAAAATGTATCACCATTTTTCTTATTTCTCTGTGCTGTTAGATTCCTGTTCTCTTTAAGACATCTCTTTTCTATGAGATTTGGGATGAAAGAGAAGGTAAATGCATTTGCTTAATCCACCATCTTGACCCAATCTCTACCTAGTATTTTCTTTATTATCTCTGTTATTATCAAATAATAAAAGTTCAATGTGAAAAACTCAGAGAATACAGACACAGAAAGTGAATATTCTTCTTGTGTCACATTCCTCTAGTGACCCGACATATCCTCTTAGCCTAACCTACTGACTTTAGCTGGAGCTGGGTAGACAGTTTTGTGAGGGCTCCCACGCCACTTCCTGGCTGACAGCATGTATTCTCAAATGCACACCTTTCTTTCTCGCCCCAGAACTCTTCCAGAGCTGCAGATAGACTGTTGGCAACCTAGGCTGGTGGTCAGAGGGGGCAGGCGCTTGACCACCCAGGATGAGGGCCAGTGTCCCACACTTCAGACAATTCCAGAAGGCATTCTATGCTCTCTGCAGAATTAATCCTTGTTACCCATAACAATGACCTCAATGATCAACCCTTATAACAGCTTTTCCTTATTTTATATTTCAGTCTCCCCAGTTTTGCATTTCCATTTCCTGGGATCTGCCATTTTTTTCTCTCCTTATTTGACAAGGTCCTTTTCCTCTGTGCAGGCATGCCTTGGAGATAGAGTGGGCTGGTTCCAGACCACTGTTGCAGAGGAAGTATCACTATAAAGAGAGTTGTAATCTTCATGCTGGTGGAGGGTCTTGCCTTCGGTTTATAAAAAAATGCACCACCTGTGAAGTGCAATAAAAGCAAAGCACAATAAAACAAGGTATGCCTGTACTTCTAAACTTCCTCTCTCCCTCAGTTCTGATTTATCATTTCACAGTAACTCTATTAGCTATAAAGCATTTGGGGATGCTGTCAGGATAGCAGGCACTGTAGCAAATGAGGTTGTATTGAATTATTTAGCTTTCAGCTAAAGTGGAGATAACGAAAGCAGCTGAGCTGGCTTGTAAAATCCTGGAGTAATCTGTCCACTGAATTGATGGTGTTTCTCATATTAATTTTTTCTTGTGGCTAAAACTTATAGATTTTAAGCCTACAAAGATATCTATGTGTGCAACTTTTCAGTTCAGCGCCACAAACCTATATCTAAGGAATTGTCTGTTTCATGAGGTATAGAATTATGTAGCTGCAGAGCTGCAAGTCTAGGGCATCATGAATTTATTAATAAGTGTACTCACACAAGGCTTCTAAAAACATAAATACGTAATTTCCATTTCTTTTTTCTTTCAAATAGATCAAGGATTTCTACTTGAGGTATATGATGGCCTCAGCTTTTAAAGTTAGCTTGTTTTTCTTGATTTTTTCTTGCCAGAATTTGGTTCTCAAATACGTAATTTTTAAAATGGAAAAGACCTTTCTGTTTCTAACTCAGTAATAAACAAATGGATTCTTCAATGTTATCAGAAAGAGGGATCATTGCTAACCTAATGGATGACCACAAATATTCTCATATTATCTTTCCTACATTATTAGTGTCTCTTAAGAAATTGAGCTTAACGAAGGCCCAGACAACAGGGGTGCGGTGGAGAGTTCTATGGCTTTGCAATATCTGTGACGTTTGCCCCACTTAACATATCTCGATGTCTAAATGCCCACTCTCAATAAGTGTGGCTGCAGCAGGAAGTGAAATAGCTTCGCTAATGTTCACTATATAACCTAAGCATGCACGTCTGGCAATTAAACACCCCTTTTCCTGGTGAATCCTGGAAAACAGCATCATTATACTCCCAAGCAAATAACTCAGGAGTAAGACTGTTCCGTTGTTAAGAATACTAGGCAACATCAAAGTTAAAACTCTTTTCTGTATTTATGCGCTTATAACCTCCACTGCCATCTCCGTAATACCTGAGATTACCTGGGCTGATGACTGGTGGTGACGGCGGGTCGAGAAGAGATGAAAACTACAGCAAGGCGGACCGCCAAGCTTATTGAATAATGACCTTGGATCGCAAGAAAGTCAAGAAAATGGACTGCCTTACAAGGTGCCGATGTTCTGGGAGTTTCTCTCCCGTGGTGACTCGGAGGTGCCTTGATTTTCCTCTCTGGCACCATTGGTTCTAGTGTTTCTTTGGCCTGCTGCATCCCACACCACCCAGGCTTGCGGTGAGGAAGACCAGGAGCCTCACCTGGAGACCGGGGGCCGGCGAGGAGGTGCGGGCGGGCTGGTGTGGCAGTTTGCCTGTTGATTACAGTCCCTGCAATATGCGAGTGCCTTGGGACTGCGGGCTGCAGCCCGCCCGTTTTGCTAGGTCCGCTCACACTTACCAGGTTTGCAGACAGAAGCAGCCACACCAAACCCGCGGACTGAAAGCGGGGGGTGGGGGGGATGGCATTCGGCCCAGTACCTACCCTTGTCCCCCCAGCGTCTGCTCTTACCGCCGGTGGGAAGAAGCCCGCCCCGGAGAGCGCAAACACACCAGCCCCCGGGAACAATCTGTCCCTCGCAAACCCATCGCAGCGGGGGCGCACTGCCAAGGCGCCCGCCTCGCCCACCCTACAGCTTAAGCGTGTCTTTTAGTATATTTAAAACACCTGACTGTATACAGTAGGGACGCAGGGCGGGAAAGTCTAGAGGGCTCATTTTCGTGACCAAGCTAGCCGCTCTGGGCGCATGAATTAGGCCCAAGCTGCAGAGTGAAACCCTTTCCCCGCCGCAGGCGCCTCGGGTAGCGCGCGGTTTGGGGAGGTGAGCGACCATGGGGCGCTGCGGCTGCTCAGACTACTGGCGTCCCGGGCCCAGGCTGCCCGCTGGGAGGCGGAGGCCAGCTTCGGGAGCCGGGCGGAGGCTGGGCAGGTGCCCCTCGGCGCGGAGGCTGATTGGCAGGTGCGGGAGTGGGTGGGGAAGGCGGGGGCTGGGCCTGGCGCTGCGGGAGGCTGCGGCCCCGCCTCCCCGCCCCCGCCGCGGGACTATCTGGTCCCGGCAGCAGCGATGTCCCCCGGCAGGAATGTCCCTCCTCAGATAATGTTATTTATATCTCTGGGCGGGTCCGTGGCTCGGCAGCACCAGGCGCCCGGTGGCCGCTGTGCCAGGAGCCCCGCGCTGCCCTCCTCCCCCTGCGCCGCCGCCGCTGCCACCCCCGGGCTCGGGCTGGCCGTCGTTATAGCCCCAGCGCAGGTGAGTCCCGGGAGGGCTCGGCAGCCCGAGGGGGTTGGGTTCGGGTGCGGATGCGCGAGTCTGGGGCGCGCGGTGCGAGCGCAGGAGAGGCGCTGGGCCCAGGGGGCGCGTGACGCGCGGGGCCCAGGGGACTGGGTGGGGGCCCAGCCTCGGGTGCCGGGCATGGGGGTGGCGCGGGGCCCCGAGGCCCTGGCGGCCGAGGCAGCTAACACCCTGGGGCGCGGGAATCCGCGTGGGCTTCGGAGGCGCTTGGCGAGCTGGGCGTTTGCTTTGGAGAGCTAGATCCTGGAGCGTCGCCCGGGGGAGCTGGGAGGGCGGTGAGGGGGGCGCGTGTTCTGGTCCTGGGCCGCCGCCTCCAGGACCCAGAATGGGGTAACGGAGGTCCTATCTCTAGCCTGTCGGACCTCCGCGCTGCCCTCTCTGCCTCCTGCTGCCGGGCTTCTCAGTCCTGGGGCCGCTCAGATTCTCTTCAGGGGAACTTGGCTGTGCGCTCCCCCTCCCCCCCCCCCCCCCCGGCAGTCCAGCGCCCAGGAAGGGAGGACAGCGCGGGGTAGCGGAGGGGGCCGATCCCCGGGCCTTGGGAACCACGCGGAGAGAGTGGCGGGGTGCAGACCCAGTGAGGAAAGATCAGAGAGCCCGAAGCCATACTCCGAGGACCCCCACCCTTCCTCTCCCCAAGAGTTTCCTTCTCACCGCCTCACCAGTCCCTCTTTCTCCAACAACTTGGCCCTGAGAAATAGCAGAAAGTGGAAGAAATAACAGGAGCTTTGAAACAATCCCCAACTCCTACCAACTCGCCCAGACTTCCAAGGGTGGGGAAGTAGCTGTGGGCTTGAGTACCGTTTCCGTGACAACGAGCCCCAGGTAGGGCCTTGATTTATAGCCTATTAATATCCAAACCACTGTTTTCAGTGAGCCGTTAGCCCCGCCAGGAGTTAATAATAACATGCTTAACTCGCTGAAGGAAAATGAAAAGAAGCCAGTGTTTAAAAAATAATTTTAGATGCATCAGATGGGGGTGTGTGTGGAATAAAGTGACAGTATTTTGTGCAAAGCTCCTGTGAGTAGAAGCTAGGCTGATACCTCCAGGTAGGAGGCAGCCACGCAACATCTACAGCCTTGAGATAGTCAGGATCTATATACTTCAGTTTCTAAGGAAAGTCATTCAGCTGGCTCCTGAATGAGAGGAGTCTGCAAATCAAAAAATTTTAGGCACCTCTGTGCTATCCACTAACCTACCCTTAGCTTCACAGATGGTTCTGAATTTTATTCTAGAATTCCCTCTTTGACCACACCCCCCATCTCCATGACGCAGAGCCTGTCATTTCTTATTCCAAGGTGAGACTTTTACTCTTTTGCTAGGAGCCCTGGGTTCCAGAATGTCTTGAAAATACTTTTTTCGTAAGTGCAAAAAGTTAAGTGCACTGAACACCCAGCACCCAACAGAGCTAGGCTTGTGGGCTAGTTAAGTTAGGGAAAGGAATATTAGGCCTACATTGAAGGAGAGCCCACCAGCCTTGAAACCATCTGAATCCTCAAAGGTGGGTCATTTATGCAGAACCTTATCAAACTCAAAGCACAGCTGAGAGACATAAACCCTACTTTATGAAAAGGTAGCCTTTAGACTCCTTAGCTGTTGCTCTTCGTTTTATCAGTGGCCCAAGTCACAATGATTGGGGATGAGCCAGTTCTGTTAATCCCAAGTTCTCGGAAGACTCAGAGTCCACTGGTGGAATTAAAAGCACCTGAAAACTCCCAGGCATCCTTGTAGCACAGGCATATCAAGTTTTCCTGCGTGGCTTGCCCAGCTGAGAGCTGAGAATACTACCTTTTGCTCTGGTCGTTGCTTCTTCCAAGTGTTCTGATGGTGTCCTCTAGCAGACAGCCTGCTAGATGATTAGCTTTGGGGCAGCTAAAAGTACAGCAGGAGACAGACTCCCACCTGGGACCAGACCTGGCAAAATAAAAATGACTGTTTTAGGCAAACTAGGTGTGAATGAAAGGTTTGAACTAAAGTCAAAATTTGATGGTTCTGCCAGAGCTCTGGAAACAGACTGTTTTTGGTAAATAAAAATAATAACAGCTTTCTTTTTTTTTTCCTATTTTTTACGCACCAATACCTGCCTTGGTGCCTGGCTGGTAATGGATGCTAGGTTAATCTTTGTTGAATGAGTGAGAGAATGAATAAATAAGTACTCAGAGTTTTCTTTATATTATACTGTTTAATTGCCACAGTAACTCTGCAGGGTTGCTCATCAGCATTTTACAAGTGAGGAAACAGATTCAGGGAGATTAAATAATTTGCCTCCATCACACAGCTGATGAGAAGTGGGGCCAGGATTCAAACTCAGCTGTTCAGTTCCACCCTCTGTTTAACGTTAGCCATTTGAAGTACAAGTTGGGAAGATTTGGTTATAGGATTCCTATTAGCTTCACAATCTTTCACTCTCAAGACATCAGGTAATAATTCCTCTTGTATCAGAGCTTTAAAAATATTACCTGAAGATGGTGTTGGGCACCTATTTGCTCAGAGGTGTTTAGCCTTGCACATTATGTCCAGGTCATTGTTTCAAGGATAGAACTGTAATTTTGGCAGTAGTCAAAGCATGGATTTTTTGAAAACAGATTTTTCTTTCAGTCTTGGAAGTGGCCAGGAGGGCTTGATGATGCATGAGGACAATGTGATAGGACAGAGGATGACTATAAAAAATTCATGAGACAAATGCTGTTAGAGTGGGAAGGGACCTTGGAGGTCACTGAGTCCAGCCTTCTACTTGTGTAGTCACTTGCAGTTAAGTAAGCCCTAACTGCAGTTTACCTGGTTACTTATGTGCAGCTAGGGCACATGCCTTCTATACTTCTTCCCACCCTTCCCATTTCTTTCCTCTCTCTCATTCTCTGTTAAGGCCAAAATTGAGTTTATTTCCTGGAGTTCTGCTTAATCAACCCACTGAAGTTTTCTTTTCTTTGAGGGAGATTGTGAGAGGATATATTGTAAAATCCAATACTTTCATCTTAGTGAAATCTTGGAAGAAAGGAAGGAAGAAAGAAAAGGTATTGGAGATAGGCGGGAGAGAAGACGTTAGTGAGCATTAAATTTTAAACTGTTTCCTAATCTCCCCATTGCCTGTTAGGTTTATAGAGGTGTGTGTTTTTATGCAGGAGGCATGCACATGACTATCTTGAGACAATATAAATCTCAAGACAAATATGCAGCATTTCTGGGGCAGTGGGGAAAGGACTTGAGGGAATTCTTGGAGCTGTCAAATACCTGTTTTAATTTAAACTCGGTCATTCAAATTGCTCTTGAAATGTGTTCTTTGAAATTTCAAAATCAAACATAAAATGTTACTCTCTATCCAATACCTGAAAAGGTAGCATGACCACTGGGAGGTTTAAAGTAGCATAAAATATACCTCTCATTATCCATAATGTTTTTTATAACCTCAGACCTGTAGATTAACATTTATAAATTGACTTGGGAGGATCAAGAGTGAAAATAACTGCTGTGTGGGCTGATGAGAAATTTGATTTTATAATGAGTACTGGCAGAGAAGTTCATGGATACTGGGTTCTGAAACCATGGATATTATTAGCCAAAAATTACTGTGGAAAGAAGTATTCTATCTCAAAAGTAGTTTGTATTAACAAATCCGGGGAGGAAGAGTAAATGCAGTGGTCTGTGTGCCAGAATTGTGTAGCATTGTATAGCATTTGCTGGGTTTATCACAAAGATGCTGCTTTCCTCTGACAACCCCAAGAGGTGAAGGTCACCTGGTTTTGGAGATGGAAATGGTGATGGAGGGAAAGTGTAGGAGGCAGTCAGGAGAATTCACTGTCAGATCTGGCTCCACTCACTGAATTGTCAACTTCCCTTGGTAAATATTTAGAAAATGTCATAGCATGTTTCCCTTTGTTGCTGTGCTTATTTCTTAATTCACAGCCAAAAGACCCAGTTCTTCCATTTTCAGCCAGCTTTAGCTGAATATCACACCACCAGGGGATCCCCAGCCTTACAGCTCACACAGTCTTAGAGGCAGTCATAGACAGAAAATGCTCCCTCGATGGACTGTCTGGCTCGCTTCTGACATTCCCAGACCACCTTTGATTTTTTTCTCTTTCCTTCTGCTGGTGGCAGGAAATATTATAAAGCCATCTTCCTTTTACCTCAGAGAGGTCTTTCCAGGCTTTGCCATAATGGTTCCACACTATACCTATGCAGACCTGGCCAAGGGTATAATTACAAGGGCAATTAAAACCCAGACATGTATCATGTTAGCAGTGGGGGCTAAAGTGGGGCTCCCTTTCATTTGAATGCTATGAATTTAGCAAGTGAAAAGGCCCAGGGCTAGAAAAAAAGAGACTTGCATCGAACTGGGCTCAGATCAACCAGGATATTTATGAAAAGAATAACAGGGCACCTTGACAACTAAAGAGCTATAATTGCTTTGAATTATAGTCAATTCAGATGTTTCCACCATCATGAAAAGGAGCAGAAACTTGGAAAATCCTGAAAGGAAATAAGTTGAAAATCATTTCAATTTGTACCAGGCTTAAATATGGGTGTGTCTCATTTGAGAATTCATAGCACTTCAAATAAAACAAAATGTACTTGAAAGAACTTACAAGGACTGGAAAGCGGTCCCTAACCTCATTCTGTCCTTCTGCTCAGTTCCTGCCTGTTTCCAGAAGCCCCCTCAGAGTGGTAAGTCCATTTCCCCTTCCATCATATTTTCATGGAAAAGTAAAAAGAGGCCTTTCAAATACTGATTCTGACTCATAAATCATGGCGAATTAGAGCTGGAAAGGCTGAGAGAGCCATCTGAGAAATATTCAAAAAGAGCAAACACTGGGTACCTACTGTGTGCATTACACTGTTATATGCTGAGGACACACAAGGGCATCAGATAGAGACCCACTGGTCTGGTGGGGGAAATGGACTTGCAAACAAGCAGTGATTCAACAGAGAAACTGTAGGAGGAAGTGTCTGGTTCACGTTG